GTTATAATACGAACAAGAACCTTTTGAACATCAAGTACATATGATATAGTCATCGTAGATACGTAAAATAAAAGAACTCTCTCATAAACCACTCGGGTTTCACAAATCATTGACAACCCATAATTCCAATGATTTATTAACAGCTTAATCACAATTAACATTAAATAAAACTTAATAGACGATTCATCTCTCTTTGATTTTAAAGGTAGAAGAGGAAATAACATCCAAAGGGTTTTAAATAAAAATGATTGAAATGTTAAACATTTGTTGATTGAAAATATTGTCAAATCAATTAAACGAATTGATATCATCCAACAAACTGCTATAATCATCATAGAAGATGCATCATATCGAGAAAGATGTTGACAAGTAATATAAGTTAATAATATACATGTAAAAAATGTTAAGACACTTCGAATTAATTTCTTGGGAATAGGACGAATTAAATAAAAACATACTAATATATATCCAAACCAACTGATTACGACATAGAAAGACAACGCCATGTTAAGTACAACCTCAATATCTTTTTCTTTTCGAAACAAACCATTTTGTCCTTACTATTTCTATTGCAACTTTCATGGTGATATAACCAACTCATGTCACAGTTATCATTCTCTTTCTTTAATCAACAATGTTATCTTATATTCTTTGCTTCAGTAAAAAGAGAGAATAAAAAATGTATCATGCCATCTTCACCTAATTCGCTTCGAAAAACAGAATTAATGAATACTTATTGCATTCCAGGGAAAAAATTTTTATTAGATATCTGTTAGAATGATGGGATGTATCGCTACATTTAGTTATAATTTCATTGCACTAATTAGCTGAAAACATCGATTTTATTTCGAAATTATTTTCGATGAATATTATAGAACATTTCTTTTTCTTTCGTGGATCTGAAAGTAGTGGTGATACTTTTATTATCATATTACTTTCAGAAAGGCAAGGAAAGAGAAAAACTTTCTGACTTTCAACTTTCGTTTACTTTCTCTTTGTTTTCTTTCACTTCTTATTTAACTTTATTGATTTTTTATCGATAGAACAGCATTATAAACCTAAATAGCTTTCTCTTTTTGAACACGAAAGGCAATGGTAGGCATTTTTTCTTGATTCAATAAACATAAATAGTTTTAGACTTTTAAAGTTGATTAATTGTACTCAATACTGTCGAGCCCATAACAGACAGGGTGTGGATGCAGGTGGGTGGCTTGTGGCACAGTGGGCAATTTTTCACAGGCACGTAGACGTTTTATTTTAAAACACTCCAATATATTCAAAAATATTTTTCTTATAGGTTTTCGCATGTGCTCTTTTCGACAGAGTAGTTTTCAGAACTTAAAAATACTTTTAAGTTGGTTTTCTAAAAATCATTGATTTTCCAGAGATCACAATGGTCTTTTAAATATCTAGTTCTGAGTTGAACATCATTTCTTATAGATTTTTGAGTACGCTGATTATGAATCTGGTAATAGAAAGGTTTTACGGAACCTTCAAGAAGATTTTCTTGAAATCCAGGTCTTTGGAAACTACTTTTAATAGAATACTTAAATTGAACCGTTTTGAATGTTTTAGCAAATGCTAACAAGAGCTCAGACTAGAAAAGCACGTCGTCATATAGTGTATAGTGCCCACCACCGCCCTTGACTCTTTTTTTATGGAGCTGGTCAAGTGTAATATTGTGTTTTTTTTTTTAACAAGAACTGTTATTTTACAGCGTAATGACAGAATTAGGACCTGAAAAGACATAGCGTGGCAACATTAGTAATGCAGAAAAAAAATCGAACTTGCTCTAATTGTTACGGTTACGACAAAACAGACACGAAACATTTTTCCATCTAATACAAATAGATAGATGCAGAAATGTTTCCTCTATGCCGAAAAATAAAAATTAGCTCAGTATGTTGTCGGCAAGTCGAGTCATAGATCGAATACTGAGAAGTCAAATTTTTTTGTGACAGAATTAGGACCACTGCTCTATATTAAAAAATAATTGTTTCAAACTATCTATTTATCATAAGAAAAAAACTAAAAATCATACGGTCTATATACATCTTATTTACAAAACGAATTAAATGAAACATTAGTCCGTTTTAATTTGTTTTTGTATTAAATAAACTTGTATTTATTAGCCTTGATCGAAATCATTCAAAATAAAATCTGTTCAAAATTAACTGGTACTTGTACTTCTTTTTGTTTTTTATCAAATCCAAATCAGAATATGGTTAATCCAGTGGGGATTTCTTACGATCAAACATGTTGATGGCAAATGATCTTTTAACCATTGAATAAGATCATCTTTGTTTTGTATTTTTTCATCAGGATATTTATTATTGCCGTTCTTGGCTAGTGCTAATCCTTTATAGTACTTTTCATCTTCACATCGAACATTTAATGAACGGAGATTGATCATTTTTTTGATAAAATAAATAATACTTTCACGATTATTAATCATGATAGAAAGAACTTCACATTGACGACCTAATGATGAATGACTCAATCTAATGCACTCTTCTTTATTGAAATAATGATTATAGTCTCGTAAATCGAGTTGACGAACTGACGGATTTATGTGTCGGAATAATAACATTTGTAAATGTAACGGCGCATCTTGAGTGATGCATAGTCGACGAAGACAAGGTGCTCGATTAAGTAAAGTTTTTAATTGAGGTTGGAAAGTATCAATATAGGATACCACGGTAAGTGAATTCAGACGATTTAAACTTGGAACAATGGACCAAAATTGATCATTGATAGGAAGTTTTATCCAAAGATATTCAATGTTAGGTAAACGAATGTATGAGGGAATCGGTTGGTCAAAGAATGCTTCATTTACAATGCTCGTCATGTTATTATAAAACTTTTGTTGATTGTCCTGTGGATCAGTTGATCTTATTGAGCCAAAAAGTACACTGTCGTAGTTGTAAAATATTTTAGATGTAGTGTAAAGATGAATAGTTTTCTTTTGGATGATACATCGAACAAACCATTGATGTTCATCAATCCAAAATGAACTTCGAAATGAATTAATCAATTCATCGACTCGTTCTTCTATATTTTGATCAAAAGAAAGTGTCTCTTCCATTCCGAGTCGAAATATTTTGAGCTTGGGCAAGTAGTTACAAATGATTTGTTCCCATTGATGACCATCGAGGAAGTTAAACCATAAACTAACGTTCAAACGGCGTAAATTAGGTGTGTTTTGCAATAAAGAAATCATTTTTGAGATGTCTAATTGATGAGAACAACTAATGTGCAATTCAATTAATGTTGGAAATAGAGATAATATATAATTATTATTATCATCATCGAATTCGACATTTATTGAAAGACTTTTAAGACGATTTGTATATTCAAATAAACGGTTTATCTCATGCAATTTGAGTGTACTTCCATATATAGATAGACGTTCGAGAGATGAGGAGATTTTTTTTGGTATAGGAAAAAACTTTTTTCCTTTGATATCAATACTAAAATTACAGTGAACAAGTTTGGAAAAACTCCAAATGTTGTTGACAAGTAATTGAAAATCAGCTTGATTATCTTCCAAAGAACAATTGTAGAAGTTTAAATGAGTTAGATTATAAAGATGATGACATTCATCTGTAATTTTTACTAGTATTTTATATGACCGAACACCGTTAATTGAAAGTGATCGCAATTGAATAAATTTATTAAATGATAGAAGATAAGAATAAAATAGATTAATCTGTTTTGGAGTTTCTTCATGCTCAGAAAGACTAAGACCAATAATTCGATCAGCAATAAGTGGCAGATGTCGTTGACAAATCATATCGAAATGACGTTTTGACATAGAACAGAAGTTAAAACGATACGCTCGAAATTGATTGTAGAGAAGAAAATTAAAGCGAAAATTGAGACCATAAAATGCATGAAGAAGATCAATACCATCGAAATAATCGAATAGATCCAATAAAATCTCATTGGGTAACGATTCTAAATTCATCTTGTTTTTTTTTCTGTTCTTACCTACAGGTTATTTTAGTATATGTCATAGAGTGCAAAATGATTTCTTGTAAGTAAAAGGAAAAGAAACAGAACAGAAGCTCGACTTTTTTCTCCCTCTAATACAGCCTGATGTATGAATCAACTATAGCAACAAGACGTTCCCTGACAACATCAAGCATGGCGAAGAAATATTAATCCACTTTTTTATGCACTTGCAAAAACGACATCTGCTTCATGTTGAGTGTTAATAAAATAAAACTTTGCTAGTAATGCTGTCCATCATAAGGTTTAACTACTGTGGCAGAGAGACTCCTTTCTGTGATAATTAGACAGAATAATGAGAAAGTTTTCTGACTAAACCAATTGATTTATTAAGAAAATTTTCAATTATTTAGATAAAAAGTTATTAAATGATAAAAGACGACCGTTGCTATTCTTTTCAAATCAAATCATCAAGAGTTCGGATCGAGAGTTTCTCATTCAATACTATTGATTATGCAGGTAGATTCGTTCTTGTTCGTAGATGGCTGGAGCTTGCTTCTCTCGATCTACCTCATCTCGTTCTTGCTCCATGATGCGTTTCAGTTCATGTTGCCAGTGATCTTGAGCAATACTACTTTCACGTAACATATTATTACGTTCTTGAAATTTGGTTAGATCTAGAAAAAAGACCAAGACAAGATCAATTTGTTCTCTTTCATCTAATATTTATTACTTTCTATTGTTCTCAATGGATTTTGCTTCATTTTTGTAGAATTCTGCTCGATTTGCATCAAATGTTGTTCTTCGGAATTATCATGGTTTAT